CAAAAACTTAAATTCTTACCTTATCCTTCTCGTTCGTTATTGCCACCCCATAAAATTTTAAAACTTTTAGTATTCAAACTAATTTTGCAACAATTTTAATCAGAATATCTTCACCTGAAGAAGCCAATGTTTTGGTGAAACAATTGTTGTGAAATATTAATATATATTTTTTTGCTGTCAGCAAAGTAGTATCAGCAAGTTCATATGTTGAAGTGCATGATGTGTTGCACACACAAAGAAAGTGATTAAACAAATTGTTCACAAAAGTGAATTTCGACCACTCGAAGCAATAGTGCTAACAGTTTCAAGGTCACAGTGACTCATAAGGAGGAAGAACTTGTTACTTTAAAAATGATTCAGCTGATTTTCATTTTTTTTTATTTATAAAAGATCCGCAAAGCACAATCAAAGCTAGAAGACGCTCTCGGCGTCTAGAAATTTTGAAAATTACTAGCCAAGAACGTATGCTATTCTTAGTATTACTGCGTTCAACGTGATTGAGTTTGCAACGTTGATGTTCATTATAGTCAACAATTTAATTTATGTGGCATAAACTACAAACTTTTGCAACCGGATTTAATAACGAACTCTAGCAGGAAACTTTTAGCTAGTAAAGGAAAGTTTTAGTTTGCTAAAGCTTGTGGGAAATGACGAATTTAAATGCGTTCATCAATCTTAATCTATTTCGTGCTGATGTTGGTATTCTAAATCTTTTGGGGACGCAAGAGTGCGGCTACTTAAAAATTCAAAAGCAGACTGCACCGTGTATGACGTTCTCATAACCAACAAAGTAGACGAAGCTTATGTGTACATGCAGTCATTTCAGGATTATGAGGTAAATTACATGATGTATCATTATTTATGAGGGTGTAGCTACTTATTAACCAGACGCCAAAGTCATAATCAAGAGCACCAGAGGTAGGAGTAAAAACTACATAGGAACAGGTTATATGTACGACAGAAGTCGTACAATAAAAGCCAAGTCCCTCTTTTCCATTAGCTACTCTGGGCAGATTCCCAGGGCTCCGCGGTCTATAGGACAAATCATCAAACAAAAAACGATATTGCTAATAAATGTATATATTTATTTTGAGAAAAGCAAACGATAATTACAGACTGTAATGTCTACGGTTACTTATTACTGTAAGTGAAAAAAGTTTACAATTGTTCGAAATCTTCTGTTACAGGCGAATGATGAGGATACCGTGGATAGAGAACATTAAAAATGATGAGGTATTGGAAAGAGTAGGAGATAGGTTGGTAGGACATCCTCGTAGGCATGAAAGGCTAATAGTTAGTGGAGGTGCGTGGCTATGCTGTCTTAGGGCTGACGACCCTATAATGATTATAACTGTAATTGTCATTCTAATAAACGAAGGACCTAACACTGACGACTGTTAGTCCAGTCAAATGAGGGAAATGACTGAATAGTATCTTATAATGGAGAAAATGATTGAAACACGGGTCATTTTATCGGAAATTTTATGAGGAACACGAATATGTTAATGAAAATTATTTGCCTGGCATAGGAGTGGAGAAAATCCGCAAAAACAATTGCAAATTCAATTATCTCGCGAAATATAAAAGATATGTTACGAATCGATTAAATTATCAATTTTAAATTTTTGATAATTATTTTGAATTTTTTAAAAATTTCCGCTAATTTTGAGGCCTCTGTGCCTTTGGGCGCGCAGAACTCTTGTTCTATGAGAGATATGAAAAAAAGTAATCAATTCTGTTTTTTGCAAAATGGAATTGTGAAAAACTTTTATTGAAACTTTTTTTCCATATCTTTCATATTTCGCGAGATAATCCAATTTGCAATTGTTTTTGCGGACTCTCCCCCCCCCCTATGCCGGGCAAATAATTTTCATTTACATATTGATGCTCCTCACGAAATTCCCGATAAAATGACCCGTGTTTCAACCATTCTCTCCATTATAAGGTACGCTTCAGCCATTTCCCTTATTTGACTGGACCATAAGTATATAATGATAAATTAGTGACCAAATCAAATAAGAAAAACAATTCTAAACAACTTACTGTTGTAATTCCATTATTTGTTTCTCTTTCACGTTTTGCTCTTCTTGACTCATTTGGACTAATTGCAGTAACCGTTCCATTTCCCCTGCGGAACGCTTTGATTCTTCTTCAGCCTTCTTAAGTTTTTCTTCAGCTTCGGCTAACTTTTTATTGAGTTCTCCAGCAACAGCTGCATTTCCTCCGGTCTAAAACAGACAGTAAAAATCACCGTTCTAACAATAATTTTATATTTTTCAATTAACCTTCTGCAATGATGCTTCCAAATGATCTATCTGCTCTTTTCGTTTTTTTAGTTGTTTATCGAGCTCGACTAGTTCTTTGTTCTTTTCGTCAACAGCTCGCTGTTTGTTTTCTGTAGCCCTTCTCATATCCTCTACTTGTTTCTTCTGCTCTTCGAATTTTTTTCTTTGCTCTTCAAACTGCCTTCTTTGCTCGTCCAATTGCTTTCGTTCTGCTGATAGATCTTCTGTTGGTCTTTGAGCTGGCATGCTCTGAAGTTTTTTAGTGGCCTCGTGAAGATCAAGCTGAGAATTATTGTATAGATGATGTGGATTACATTTACATGCACACTGGCATTAGAACATAAACATTTCTACCAGTAAATATTCAAGAAAATTAATGAAATAAATGAAAAGGGGGGGAATAAATAATAAAAAAAAAAGAAAAATAACAAATCAATGTTTTATTAAACAAAAAAAATAACAAAACATAGAAATAAATCAAATATAAGGAAGAAAGAACCTAAAAGGTGGTTAGAGGTATAACATTTCCGACGAGTACAAGTTTACAGACTTTCACTCTCACCTGCTTCTGTTCCAATTCTTGTACGAGCATTTCCAATTGTGACTGTAGTCTTTCCTTCTCGGTAGCGCTATTTCTTAAATCCGTTTGATATTTTTCTAGTTCTCGTCTTAATATTTTCATTTCCTTTTCGTCTTCAGATGGAGGACGTATTCCGGCAGCTTTCTGATATTGTGCCATTTGTTGTAATTGTTGTTGCATTTGTTTTTCCATGGCCTGTATTCGTTTCTGTAGATCTTGGGCAGTTTTTTCAGCTTGATCGGCTCTTGCGGTTTCTTGTTCCACAACTTTTCGCCATTGTTCTAATTCTGAGTCACCTCTTGCCCCCGTTTCTTGCAGTCTCATCTCAGCCTTTTCAGCTCTTTGTCTATGCGTGTCCCTCTCTTTTTGAAGAGCTATAAGTTGCTGTTGCAGTTTTGCTATCTCTTTGTCCCGATTGTCTAATATCTCCTTCGTTCCTCTTTCGACATCTTGTGTTACTTTCTTCTGCTCAGCCTTAAGCCTATTTACTTCTGCTTTGCATCTCTCACGTTCTTCTTCACATTGATTTAGTTCCTGTTGGAAATTCATTAGCATGTCTTGGGATTTTTCTAGTTGTGCAACGAGCTGATCTCTCTCCATCGTGAGTTGCTTTATATCGGCTTCGTATTTAATAATTTGCTTATCGATTGATTCTCCTTGACGACCTTGTTTATCTAAAAGTGCAGCCATTTTTTCTCTTTCTCTAGATGCTTGTGCTAATTCTTGTTGTAGTTTAACGATAGTTTCTTGGGTTCTATGGTCCATGGTTCGTCTACTATCCATTCCAGTGCGTAGTTGCTGTAGCTCTGCCCGTAGGACATCTCTTTCCTGTTCCATTGTTTTCCATTCCATTTTCTCTCGTTCCATTCGTTCGTGCATTTTTGCTAGTTCGTTTGCCATTCGTTCGAATTCGATCTTGGTGGTTTCGTTGGTTTCTAATGCCTTCGTTAAATGTATTTGCGCTTTTTCGAGTTCTTTTGCCAATCTTCCTGCTTCCATTTCAGTGGCATCTCTTTGTTGAATTGCTTTCTCATATTTTTCTTTGAGCCTTTCAATTTCGATGCGTTCATCTGACTTTACTTTGTCTGCTGCAAGGGTCTGACGTCTATCGGCTTGGGCAAGATCCATTTTAAGTTTATCGTTTTCTTTTTCGAGTTTGTCGTTTTGAATTTTGAGTTTTTCTAAGCGATCTTTGAGTTTTTCGTATTCGATTAGGGTCCTTTCCATTTCCAGTCTTTGCTTCTCTTGATTGGCGGTGACTTTGTTTACCTCTGCTCTTGCCATATCGAGCTGTATTGTAAGCTCATGCAATTTCGTTTCGAGATGCTGATTAGTAGTAAGATATCGTTGTAGCTCCTCTTTAAGCCGTTCAATCTCGCCACTTTTTTCTCTCTCTTGTTCATATTGATATTTACCTCTAGTAGCTTCTGTTAGTGCCATATCTTTCCTTGTGCGATCTAATTCGGTAAGAGTTTTATCCAGCCTCTCTCTTAATCGTTCCACTTCTAATTTCAGCCTTTCATTCTCTTCTTTGGTTCTGTCTTCACTTTCGTATTTAGAATAACGATTTCGGGTTGGTTCACGTAAGGCATCGTATTCTGCAACAATTTTGCGGAACTCTACTTGTAATTTATCATGTTTTTCATGCGATTTTTCAACTTCTACTTGTAAGCGAGCGATTTCTTCTTGGTCTTTCTCGTGAGCTGTTTGAGCTTTAGCTGCCTGGCTGTGAGCTCTTTCAAGCTCATATTGGAGGCGTTCTAAATCGGAATGGAATTTATCTTTTTCGTTTTGGATGCGTCTTATTTCCATTTGTGCTTTTTCGTAACGTTCTCTCGTCATTTCCATTTCTATATTCAAGCGATCAGCCTCCTCCTTGTATTTTTCTTCCGTTTCTTTTGTTCTACTTAATTGCATGGTAGCTCGATCGTACATTTCTTTAACATGTTGAAGTTCTTCTTGCATTTTGCGTTGGTCATCACGAGATTTTGCAATAACTAGCTGTTGTTTTTCGACTTCTAACTCTAAGCGATCTTTATCAGCTTGTAAAACATCCATCTTATTTTGGATTCGGTAAACTTCACTTTGGGACCTAAAAACAAAACTCAGATTATAAGAACAGTACTTATGACTTGCTATATATAAGGATTTACCTGTCGTATTTTTCAATCATTTTTTCTATTTCTTTATTGGCGTTTTCACGTTCGTCTATTGCTTTTTGAGACGTGTATATTGTTTTTTCTAATTTGTCTTTAAGCATATCAATTTCCGATAAAGCGTCTTCTTTCTCTAACTGTAGTTTTTGGTTCATTACATGCGCCTTCTCCCACCTTTCTTTCAAAACATCTAGATCCCTTTCTAAGTCTGTCTTTTCTCTTTGTGCTTTTGCAACTTGACCGATTTGAATTTCTATGCGATCTTTCAGTTTATTGCATTCATCTTCCAACGTATCTTTTTCTTTCTGCAAGCGAGTTACGTTGATCTATAAAATAAATTGGATTATTAGAAATAGGTCTGTTTTGAAGACGAGAACCGAATCTACCTGGGTTTTTTCGTATTTATCTCTTACACGGTCGAAGTCGAGTTGTAAAGAGTCTCGTTCTTTTTGAATACGTGCAACTTGTGCTAACGCCTTATCGAGCTGCGTTTGACAGTTATCATAGTCATAAGTGACCTTTTCTTTTTCCATTTGAAGCTACAAGTACAATAAAATTATTATTGAGAGAAATATTGGCACCGATAAATACGATATTGAATTTATGTATTTTTCTACACAAAATTAATTATAAAATTGGTAATTTATTTCCAATTCAGCGACAACTTAAGTGAAGAGAAGAATGAGAATGGAAAAAAGATTAAAGAAAATAAATTATATAATGTCAGAAATATTTAATTGGTGATATTTTAAGTAACAGAAAGATTTCTCGACTTGTAAAAGTTCATACTTATTCATTTGGAACAATCTGCAAAGTTAATAAATTAAGTAAGAATATTGTTGGTTAATGCAGTAGCCAATAGTTGGATAAAACTTGATTCTTATATACATCTTTTTTTTTGTTTCACATTTAAATCGACGTAAAGATGTGGCTAACGTTAAATTTTATGAACAAGACGATGTTAACAGCTGTTAAAAACTTACCCTTCTTATTTCTCCTGTTGCTTTATCAAGCTTTTCTTGTAATTTGTCTGCTTCCGTTTGAGTTTTATCCAAAGCATTCTGCAATTTGTCTTGTTGAAGTTGCGTTTTTCCCAGATTTGCTTGAGCGCGTTCTAATTCTTCTCTTAATTTTTCTAGTTCGGCTGCAGCCCGTTCCTTGTCCGCGTGCAATCTAGCAGTTGAAGCGTGTGCTCTTTCTAATTCTTCCCTGAGATTGTCCTGTTCCTGATGCGAATTTTCCAGTCGTGCTTTCAAACGATACACCTCACCCTGAGACTTCTCTAATTTCTCTTGGAGAGCAGTGGCTTCCGATCGCGCTCTTTCATTATCTGCTTGGGTGACCCTAAGTTCTGCTTGGCAACGGCGCAAGTCGGAAGCTGTTTTATCAGATTCAATTTTGTCTAAGTCGTGCATGCTTCCTATGTTACGACCGTACGTTCTTGTGGAACGGTCTACATCTTGTTTCAGTCTCTCGTTTTCGAGTTCCAGACGTGCTATTCTTTGCTTCGCCTGCTCCCAATCGGCGCCGCTACGTCCTACTTCTATAGTAGCTTTATCAAGTTCAGCCTTTGACTTTCCTAGCTCCGATTGAGAGCTTTCCAACTTGGCCTCCAGCCTGTCACGGTCCGCATTAGCACGATCGAGTCTGACGGTCAATTTCTCTACTTCGCTTTCTAAGGAGTGTATTTTCATTTTATATTCGGCAATTTCTCGTTCGTGCAATTCTCTCTCTTCCTGCTTTTCCTGTTCAGCACGGTCCCGTTGTTCGCGGAGCTGTTGCATTTGTTTTTCTTTATCACCAATTGCTTCTTCGAGCGAGGACAGTGCTCCTTCAGAAGAGCAATGATGGGCTTGCATGGCTTGCAATCGTGCTCGTGCCATATCTACTTGGTTGTCTTTCTCTTTAAGAAGGTCTTCTAGGTTTTCAATCTATGACAAGTTTGCATTTTAAACGGAAAAACACTTGCACACTAAACTAACAAAAATTTCTGAACGTATACGTCATTATAAACGCAAAACTTGAAATAAACTGAAATGCAGAGGTTAAGTATCTATTTCGTTTCTGAAACTTAGTATTTATTTAATGTTTTTGTTTGAGGAAGTTTCAAAAGCGAAAAAGTAAATCAGCAGAAGTAAATCTTGAAAGATAAGTATAGCTACTTGAAGCAATTTCTTTAGATGGGACTACTACACAAAAGTAACTTGAGATTCAGTCGATGGTAACTTAAGGACCGATCATGTACATTGTCAGTTTATGCTGAACGATTTATGTAGGTACATGTCACCTTTTCGGCTTAAATTATAAAGTTAATAAAGTAAAATAAATATGAAAAAAAAGTCCGCGAACGATAAAACGTTACATAAAATGGAGAGAAATTATGAATNAATCGATTTGTAATTTTTACAGGAGTTTTAGAATTGAATGAGGAACGTTCTTCCAAATTTTTATTTGTTTCGTAGCATTTTGACATACCTCCCAAACATCCTTAACTACCTATAAAGCAGGATCATTTGCGGCTGTTTGCCCTACACATACCTAATGTTTCATGTATGCGCTTTTGTGTAGTATGGCAAAACAGCCGCGGACGATCTGACCTAAAAAATCTAACTGCCCCCCCCCTCCCCTAGGACAGAAGATATAATCAATATTTTTTAAATGGTATGCAGCAATTGATAAAGGAAAAGCCAGTTTTATTTAACAATCAACATTTATTACGTTGATAATATACTCCACTTTGTACTAAATCATTCAAGTCATTATAAAAAGCAAGGCGATCCAAATTATAATAACGAAGTAAGATATGTAAGATGATATAATAAGAAATTTCTAACTAATTGTAAGTCAGTACAATCGCGTATTTAAATTACTTATGAGGAAAATTAACAGGTATTCTTATTATTATCCGAAGTGTTAGTGAGTTTGGTAATAATAAAATGTGTGAGTGTACGTGAAGATAAGAATGCAATTTTTCGAATAATGTGACACTGACAATACTTTAAAAGCTTATTGGCGTGGCGTGTTACAATAGTTGTCTGATTTATTGGCAAAGAGGATACTTGTTAATTCGCCTTGGTTCACAAGAAGATAGTATTTACACCACATTATTATTTTGCTAATACACAATGAAAAGAAGGTGTGAACGGTATTCGTCCAGAAATACTCGTTCTCTTTTACAAAATCTAAAAGTCTAAATGTGCAAAGTTTTTTTTTAGTATAGATAGTATTTATTTACCTCATGATATGCTGCGAAACCTAATTAATCACGAATTTCTAATTTTATGTACTCTTGTCTCCGATTGTACCTCCCAAACATCCTTACCTGTGTTGTTATTTAAACGAAATCTTCTTTTTTCTATTTTTGAACACCCTTGTATTAAAACAAGGAATAAGTTTTGTTTGAAACATTTTTCGATTAAATTTATAGTTTAGTCACAATGGATAAATTGTGTACTTTTTGGACCACCCTGTATGTATGTAAGTTGGATTAACAATTAAAGATTTACAACTTGATTTAATGGAATTTAAGGAGATCTACGAAATAAAGTCGGCAACAACTTTAATAAAAAAATTAAAAGAAAATTAAGATTCGCGTTAAATCTTGGCTTTCGTAGAATGAGAGGAACATTGAAATAATAAGTTTGTGCTAAGAATAATGAACAATATTTCTGAACGATGGATAATTTATAAAGATAAGAGAAACAATTACTTACTTCTTGTTTTAATCTTTCAACGAGTCGTTTTCTGTCCGCGCGTAAACGTTCAGCTTCATCAGCTTGACGAGCTGTCTTAATTCCTGATATTTCCAGGAGAGCTAAATGAGCATCCTTTTCGCTGATGGCTGCTTCAAGAGCTTCACGTCTAAAGAAATATTTATTTGCTGTGTAGTTTAATTGAGACTTTTCTTATAATAGATACTCGAGATATTATAGTAAGAGAGAAAGAAAGCATGATAGGCTATGAAACTTAGATGTATTCTAGACGTCAACAGGAATAGATGAAAGGTTAATATAATCGCTTATTAACTGAGTTTCTTATCTTTCCATGGTGCATATACGTATTATATTCGTAATAAACTGTTCATTAATAATTATAAGTATTCTCTGGAATTGATTTTTATGATTCGATACTGCAAGATACATTTAGGTATGTATATTATTCATAATTATAAAAGAATGTCGTGTTAGTTAGACTGTTTATAACTTAAGAACGGCTGAATCGATTTGGCTGAAAATTGGTGGGGAGGTACCTTAAAACCAGGAGACGGGTATAGGATACTTATTTTATTCCGTTCCCTTGGAAGTTGACATAAAACGTGGTACCTATAAGAAAACGCAACTGGCATGGAATAACAAAACGCAACTGACATCAAAACGAAAAATTTATCAGTTAAAACATCAGTCTAGTCGTTCATTTGTTAAAAATGGTATAACAAAACTTCAATTTCTGTTGGGGGGGAGGAGTGGTGAAGAGGAGTTGCAATGTTTAAATGGAACATATATTATTTGTGGTCAGATTTACTTGAAACTTGGTTTTAATGGTTTCTCATTTAATTTCTGAAAGACTTATCTCGAAATTTAAAAAAAAGCTCCAAAGGGGGGAGGGTAAAAAGGTGTTGCAATATTTGATATTATTAATCAAATGAAAAGAGGTTGCAACGTTTCCATGGGGTATATTTTATTTGTACTCGGATTTACTCGAAGGTTGCTTATTGTTGAAATTAAGCAAATACGTGTTTTGCCAATTTTTAAAAATCAACCCAAAAGGATGAAATGTTGTTGCTACGTTTGTATTTGAAATCTAAGATGGCGACATTGTATAAAATTAAAACGTTGTAAGGGTGAATTGGGAGTTAAGAGGTTTTATGGAGAAACAATATTAATTTTTGCGAGCGAAGTCGCTGTGAAAAGCTAATATTTCATATAAAATACTTCAATTTTTATAGTCTAGAAGACAACAATTTCTGAAAAGAAATGTATGAAAAAGTTATTTGGTTAGGGTCGAATTGGCATTCAAAAGCAGTTAAATAAATCGGTGGGCGGATTGGCACCCTATACGAACGAATTGTCACCCGCTATCTTGATAGGGTTGTGAATGAGAGTCAATTATATTAATTTATGTATGTTAGAAAATAGTACGAATGTTAAACATAATTACGTGTATTATTATTAGTTATTGTACCTATTAGTACCTATTGAGATAGAAAAGGTAAAATAATATTGGTGTTAGAGGGTTAGGTTCAAGTGTTCCTTCCAAAAAGAGTTAAGTGATGGTGTACAAAGGTGGATTTGTGCGTGCCAGGTCTAAATATACCGAATTATTAAATACTTATAATCCTATAAAGAACCTACAACCTACTTCATATGAGCGAGTTCCTGTAGATGCCGTTTTCGTTCTGCAACAAGACAAGAAAATCGAGATTCTAGAAAATTCATTCTGGAAACGAAGGGTCGACAACTGTGACAACGCATACCCTGGGCCGCTTGTAACGACAACAGTCTCTGCTCCAGTTTGGAAACCTATTATTAAAAGTCTCTCTATATTGTACAAACTACTAATAGAAAACCTACCTTTTCAATAATTTGTTGGCGTCTAAGCTGTTCGCGTTGAAGGATCAATTCTCGTTCAGTTGCTATTTCGATACTCTCTCTTAGGGAATCTTCAAGTTCTGATATTCTTCTCTCTTTCAAGCGAACTTCTTCTGAAAACTGTTCACTATCTACATATTCACATTCGTATTTGCGTAATTTGTTTTGTAATTCTTCGATGGTTGCAGATTGTTCCTCAACCGTATAACGAATTCGATTGTCAACGTCGTCCTTTCGAAGTTCAGATATTAATCTTTCTTTTTGTTGTAGAGCGGTTCGGAGGCGTTCGATTTCGTTTACTTCGTCTTTTGACAAACGTTTTTCGTCTTGTTCGTCTTCTTTTTTTGTGCATAAGTCATTGTCAGGATTTCGTAAGGGGTTTTCCGCCAAATCTTTTCTTTGTCGGAAATTTTCCTGTGGAGAATTTCGGCAAAAAACAAACAATAAGCAACTACATCACAACCAAAGCGAGCTTGGGCATTTAAATTAGGGTAAATCAGGACGAATGAGGCAAGATTGTGTCCAAAAATAGTTTTGGTTGAAATCAGTTAAAAGAAACTTTTTAAAAAGCCAGCGGGACCAGCCTACATGTGCATAAGCATATGAATATACGTACATGTCCGAGAATAAGACAGCAAAAATTATAAGAAAAAATATGTTAGTAGAAGTACATGGATTGATTTAAATTTAACTAGTTTTACCTCCTCTTTTTGTTGTTGAGCGGCTTGCTGTTGTTGGGCCTTCAGTTTTGCTTGGGAATTTCGAAGAGCTCTGCAATGGAGATTATGGATCTTAAAATGTTACTTAATAATAAAAAACATACGAACAACGAATCANGTTGCAAATTAGGGGACATGAATTCTTGGTCTTGAAGACTCTACAGTTTGGCGAATCATTAATCGGGTTGTTGAAAGCGTCCGTTGCAGTATTCCACCTTGTAGAAGATTCCCAACAACTTTAATTTTTTCCGTCCTTTTTAGATTTCTTTGTAGTTGTCCACGATGCACAACTAGGCTTTCCTTGCAATCCACAATGCATAAATAAATGCCAAGTGGGAATGAACTCGTTCCACCGCCAATTTTGATGTTTATTCATTCAAAAGACAAAATGTAATTGCAATGTTTATTCGTCAGTTGAATTATGGCTCATCGAGGAATTTGAAATTTTAGGAAGTAGCAGTGGAAATGACGGTATGCACATTAATAGGACATATATATTTTTTTTAAATATACTATACTTGTTATGCATCGGGTGGATTGTGTATATTAGACCCTCCGCTTGCTCTAAGGGTTGTCTAAATGGCCGTTTTACCACCAACATTCACACAGACAAAACAACAGGTGACATTCCATGCTACAGAGAATTTTTTCGTCGAGCACGTTACGTTATAGATACTTATAATATTTACTCACTCACTACATCGATATTAATGTTATGATCGTCAAATTTTAGATTCATAAGCATCATTCATTCAAAAGATACATCTCTATATGGAAGGTTCTTAATAAAATCTCACTGTTGTCTGATTCAGAATTGTCTATTTTTAAAATTTCATTTTCAATAATATCTGCTCGTTGCGTAACCGAAACGTATTTGTAGTGAAATGCATATATAAACTTCCTATCATCTTTATTAGATATTATTTATTTTATTTAATTTCCTCTTTACATACCTAATACATAAATGAGTTCCATGCGAAAATTTTGTTCATTTAGGAAAGCGCCTTTAAAACATGTTTTTTTCATCAATCCTTTGTAAGACTGTAATCTGTATCCACAATGGGATAATTTGGATTAGTCGTGTAACTACAGTTTATTAACTTGATGAAGATCCAACAAAGCCTCCTTGCGGATTTTAATATTAGTATGCGTATGTTGGAGAATAATTATTCTATTAGTGTGTAGAAATGGTTCAAATAAAAGACAGAGAAGGGAATCTAAATAGTATATCCAATTTAAATGTCATTGTAGAAAAAGGATTAAGCATTATTAAACCATTTCCATTAACAATAAGTTAGTTTAACAACAAAGGATCCTTTGAATTATCTGAATTTAAAACAAAAACCACGTCCAATATTATTTGATAAAAGGTATTGGCGCCAATAGGTAATAAAAAAGGAAATTTTCCTATAACAAATTTTGTAACTATTAAATAAAATGTTAGTTAAGCCTTAAAATTCCATGCGGTGCTAATAATATGATGGGTTCTATTTTTTGAGGAAGCGGACTTTAAATGGTTGCTAATCCCTTTTATTGCTTTTTTTTATTAAAGATTGAAAGAAGCTACCGAGTACCAGTGGCGAATCAAGGGAGAGGGAGTTATAGGGGTTGTATCCCCTTCTCCGTCGGCCGGATTAATTATTTTCGTTTGATATTATATATGTCACGACAAAACATTGTGAATCACCCTCTTGCTCCTGTTTGAAAAATCTCGCTTGCTTTCGGTAGACGTATGCCCGTAGGCTATATAGTAACAAATTAGCTATAAAATAATTCGAAGTGGTCTGTATTCTGTCGAAACTGCCAGACGCGGATCGCGATTTCGATCTTTTTGGATCTCATCAGCGCGTCGCAGGCAG